ACGGCACATGGGAATCTTGAAGCAAGCAAATCTACGAGGCCCGTTTTGCCGATTCTTCCATTGGCTACATTCCGTTCATGTCAGTCCACAGAGTCAAATGAGTCAGAGAGACATTGCGTACACGGTCTTAGCTCTACTTTGCTTATTTCAGAACCCCACCTTGTGACTTATTGGGCACCTTCACAGTCAAATCTGAGTCGACATTTATACCGTAGTACCATACTATGCCATCGTTAGATGCTCTTCAGATGACATTTTACCACACCAAGTCAGCCAAGCAGTCATAAAGTTAGCTAGCCACCCACGTAACAAAATTGTTGAGACACAAGGACATGTTCAACTTGAGGCCAGACCCTTTGAGGAGCTGTGCTGCATTGCGCAATAATTCTTTCTACATCATTCACTGTTACGTTCACCCTTTCACGCACGCAGTACTCGCTGGAAGTAACGTCACAGACCACCAACACGGACAGATGGGCAGAAAAAAAAAACATTTCCCATAATTTATATAATATTTATCCTGCTCTTCTATAATTAGATACTGTCTACATGTATTTATATTTTGCATTTTTATTTACCGAAATTCTTCTTGGGGACTTGTGGAGCAACACGCTAGTGCCCTCCATTGGCCAGCCACCACCGATAACACTAAATGTGTAATTCTCTTGTCTGTGGTGATTCTGGGCAAGTGCCATTTATTTGCAGTCTGGATGTAGACGAGTGAATGTCTCCTCCTCTGTTATCGCCAATAGCACTACAGAAAGGCATTAGATTTGTCGCTCGTCGTTTTTTGGACTTTAAACATCTTTGGAAGGGTCGGTAAAGTTCCGAAACAGAAGTGGACATTAAGAAATTCTTTAGCCTTTGTGTATTGTAACAGAGGATGTTGATGTTTGTTCAATGTTTATTCAAACGCCTGGGAAGTGTTTGAATAAACTGAAAAAAAATGCATAATGTGTCTTCCATCCGTCCATTATCTGAACTGCTTTGTCCTCACGAGGGTCGCGGGCGTGCTGGAGCCTATCACAGCTGTCTTCGGTCAGTACGCAGGGGACACCCTGAACTGATTGCCAACCAATCGCAAGGTACACATAGATGAACAGCCATCCGCGCTCCCACCTGGAGACAATTTAGAGTGTTCCATTAACCTGCCATGCATGTTCTTACAATGTGGGAGGAAACCGGAGTACCCGGAGAAAACTCACGCAGGCACGCGAAGAACATGCAAACTCCACACAGGAAGGCCGGGGGCAGAATCGAACCCTGCACCTTTGCATTGTGAGGCCGACGTGCTAACCACTCCTCCCCACTGTGGTTAGCTGTTTGACTGAAATCCTTTATCTTGGTGTGCACAATATAATCTTTCCACCTTAGCAGAGGTCTGTGCTCACAGCTCTCCTGAGTGCTTTTCTAGTTTCAAAAAGAGATTTTTACTAAACAACCAATAACTACAGTGGTGACTAGTAAATGATAATAACCCCTCAGACAAATTCTAATGTCTTTGGTTCTTTCTTCCATGTATTAACCTGCCCTCACGTTTCCTGTTGATAACCACCCTTAGCACTCTTCTGAGTAAACAGACTTAGTGGTCAAAAGCCCACCACAAACAGCTTCCATCTGTCATGTAGGTGCTGCACATACAGCTCTGAACAAATGTGAGATCACAAATGTGAACGCATGCATGACATATGAACTTGTTTGCAACCTGGGGTCGTGTTGGGGGGGGGGGAAACTTTAAGATGCAAAATACCTTATCCCAAAAAACATCCTTCATTTGGGCTCCATTTTGGAATATAGAACATGACGTGGAATACAGGGTTAGCATAAGCATGCTTGAATTTAGTTCCCTGAGTTTCTGTCAGTCTTTTTTGGGTCATTGTGAGCTGTGAGTATGTGAGCATACGTGTGCTCCTGTCATGTTTTGTTTCCTGTTGTAGTTTTGTTTGATACTTGTGATTTACAGGCATTTTTTGATTCCTTCGACTGAGTGTTTTTTCCATTGTACTCCTGTGTATATTTTTTGTTAAATACATTTTGGTCACTCCACCCTGCTCCTCCCTGCCTCCCTACTTTTTGGGGTCCTCCATCTACCACTTTTTGCAAAACGTGACAATCTGTCAGAGATATTCGCTCAGACGGTCGACAAAGGCTCGAACACAGGAACAGATTGTCTTTCTCTGCCGGCAGGAGGTGTAGTTTTCTATGAAGCCACTCCGTGTGCGCTTCTCACTGACACCTGACCTCTGCCACCTCTGCCGGCCCTTTTATTGATTGGATATGCAAATTACAAGTAGTATATCAGAAAAACACTCCCATCTTCATTAACATGCCGCACCCCTGGGCGGCCCAATTGGGCCACCCCTCAGCAGACCCCCTAAGACAAAGGATTCCCATAGAACCAGCACCAACATCTATAAACTAACAAACACGTAGACATTTTAACGAGCGACGTCTCCCTGAATTAAGACGTCGGTCACCTGGCTCATGACCCTTGCTCATGACGGAGCGTACAAGCACTCCCTTCCGTCCAAGGTTAAATCTTCCTTTCTAAGTTGTCAGTTAACAGACGCCAGTGTGTCTACTAGTGAGGGTTAAATCTTTTCTCTCTGAGATAAGGAGCGCATGGTCAGGTACCAGGCACTCGGGTCCTCACTGCTTCTCTGTGCTTCTAATATGTGCAAGATGTTCCGAACACAAGCATTTCGAGGTCAATCAGGGATGCAACAAGATGAAACTTTAAAACATGGCAACATTGTACTTTCTATTCTAACACAATCTCAGCAAATAAACTTTCGCAACACTTGTTCGCACTTGTTTTAATGTTGCACAACTTGGCAAACGTCTGCTTTCTGCGAGGTTGAAAGCCGATCTCGCCAATCTCGTCTCTCGAGAACGGAAACCTCATCACGCGAGATGACTTAACGCAAGATCAAAACAACAATGGCGGCGATTGTCGAACTGCGGGACTGCGTTACTGGAAAAAAAGATGTACCGTAGTTGTTTTGTTTGTTTGTTTTGAGTGAGAAATTTCCTTGCGTCCCAAAAACGCACATTTTTTGGAACTGTGTGTCCCGCGAGAAAATTATGCGTCGAGGACGCGGGACGCAGAGGTAACGAGATGACTGCATTACCAATGAATGGTCAGTCAAAGTAACACTTGAAATTTCCTAAACTATGTGTGACACTGTGGGGTGGAATATTTGCCACAAAAAAATAAATGTGAATAACTTAGATTTAAATAGTTTATACCGAATTTGAATTTCCTCAACTGAAGTGGCTCGGATTATGGATGGATTTGTATATTTTAATCTGAATCATATTGAATAACTGAATCTGAATTGTACAATTTGAATTTGAAAAGGATTGATTTTTTTCTTTGAAACTGTATTTGATCCTCACTGAAAATTAAATTATGTTTATTTTCATAGTCAGTCTTACAAATACAACACTTTTCATTTCAACGTCAGATTTTTTTTTTTTTTTTTAATTCAGGTAACAATTTTTAAATTAACTTTTTCGTCAAGTATGAAGTATCCGGTTCGTATCGCAGCAAACTGAATCAAAATTAATTCCATTATATTTCGGCGCAGAAAGGGTTCTTTTTTTTGGCACCACCTCTGACTGCACAATCACCTACATTTTCACGAAACTCATATGCACACGGAAACTGCGTGCATGGGCAACTGTGGTCAAAGAGCGTCGTCGTTAACTGCGAGCGATGTTTTTCTTGCTTCTTCTTTTTCCTTCTTCTTCTTCTTCTTCTTAAATGGCGGGTGGCAGCTAGCGTTTACGGTGCTACTGTGTCGCAGTGTGTAGCAATACTTGACTGTTAGATATTTAAGTACCTATGAGGAATAAAAAACAAAAAACACGAAAATTCAAAACTCATACCTTCTTTCGCTGACGTCAGTGGACTTCACGTTTAATTTGTGTGTGCACATGAGCGAGCGTGCCCAAGAATTAGTGTGTGCATGTGCCAATGTGTGTGTGTGTGTGTGCGTGTGCGTGTGTGTGTGTGTGCGTGTGCGTGTGCGTGTGCGTGTGCGTGTGCGTGTGCGTGTGTGTGTGTGTGTGTGTGTGTGCGTGATGAATAGAATTCCGCATCCGTCTGCGATGTAAAACAATGGCTGTGTGTAGAAAAAAAATCTGAAACTGCATTTTTGTCTGGTTGAGAGGGCATTAAATTGCCCTGACGTTTCCTGTCGATAACCACCTTGAGCACTATTCTGAGTAAACAGACTTAGTGGTCAAAAGCCCTCCACAAACAGTTTCCATCTGTCATGTAGGTGCTGCACATACAGCTCTGCACAAATGTGAGATCACAAATGTGAACGCATGAATAACATATAAACTTGTTTGCAACTTGGGGTCGTGTTGGGGGGAAGAAGACATACTTTTTAGATGCAAAATCCCTTATCCAAAAAAAATCCTTCATTTGGGCTCCATTTTGGAATGTAGAACATGACGTGGAATACAGGGTTAGCATAAGAGAAACTCTCACAGCACACCATGAAATAACAAAGACATAAAAAGCATATGTACTTAAATAATGATGATCTCATCTCAGTTTACTCGCAAATTGGCTCTGGTCCTGCTTACTTGAACACCAAACTGATATCCCCGCAAATACTCCCACTCACTATTTGCAGATTACATTCATACGTTTATCTGATACACAAGTACTGTAAATCAAAGGTACAAATTTGGCCAGCTTGGTGAACTCCTAAAAATAGGTTTAATCTCTGTATTTCCATCAGTGCAAAGGTAAGACATCATAACAACGTAGTCAGGAGAAAGATTCTCATGCTTTGTAGAGCCGAGAGGGAGAGATCTGTTCCCACGAGTGGCCAATATAGCAGCTGTGGTCAAACACACGACAGTTTTGAGACCGCCGGCACTGCCAGCAGACATTTCCGGGAAAGGCGTGCCTCACGTTTGACTTCCATTGTAACATAAATACGTTGAATATTAACTCCAGTTATCAACTCATAAAGTTGACAAGAGCGGCGTTGGTACAGCGATGATGAATGGCCAGGCCACCACACCTTGTTTGTCTGTGCCAACAGTCAACACTCACAATGGCCAACCCCTTTTATATGAGGCTCTTTGAGGCCATACAAGTGTGAGTTAGATCACGAGACAACGCATTCTAATCATGGAAACGTTTTGGTACATGGTGTGTCTGTGGAGCGTCAATGTCGCTGCTTTCAACCTGGATATCCAGAGGGTCATGGAGAGAACGGGACCCCAGGGCAGCCTCTTTGGGTTTTCTGTTGCTTTCCATCAACAGCTGAGTCCCGCCAAAAGGAATTTGTGAGTCTGTGGTGACATTTAATATCTTGAATTCAGTTGAGTTGAGTTCTTTAGTATCCTATAATGTCCCAAAAGGAAACGTGGCTTGCAGATAGGTTAAAAAGACAGTTTAGAAACAGTCAATGCAATGTACAGCCGTCAAAACAATTTAAGGAAAGGTACGCCATACAGGCAGGAATGTATGATTGACATGCTAATAAACTGAATATAATAGTTAAATGTGTCTTTTGTGTGTGTAAGGCTTGAAGGAAAATCTAATTTCGGATGGATTACTGTAATGCACTTTATTTTGGAGTCAGTTGACCTCAAACGTCTCCAGTTGGCTAATAATGCTGCCTTGGCCTCTAACTGGAGCATGAAAGAGGAAGAACATCACTTATATTCAGGCCTCCGTCCATTAGCTGTGAGTTTATTTTAAGATCCTGTTATTTGTTTTGAAATTGTTGAAATGGGTCGCGCCTCAGCTCTCTCTGAGCTGCTCCATCACTACTTTCCTGCCTGGTGCTTCATGTCAGATGGGAATATAGCATTTTTGTTTATGGTCCCATTCTTTGCAATGACCTTGCTCTGCACATTAGACAAACCCCCTCACTGTCCATTTTATGTGGACTGATCCTCTTTTCCGTCACCCCGGTGCTGCTAGACTAGGCAATAAAAGCAAAGCAGATTGAACAAAATATTGGTCAAATAGGAACATCTGTTTACTGTCTACATTCAAATAACTTTAGAAATAAATAATAATTCCACTTTGTGTTTGTCCTCAGGTTGCTGGTCGGTTCCCCGAAATCGAAACATCCACACCTGGGGAATGTTACAGGCGTGGTCTATCAATGTGATCTTAGTGTGTCTTCCGAGCATTGTCAGCCCATTGACTTCAACCACGAAGGTTGGATTGCGCTTTCTAGTGTATCCACATGACAGTTAGCCGTAAAGACGAACTTCAAACAAATTTCTGTCATTACAGAGTTCCTTGAGAGCAACGGTATAAACGGCCAGTGGATGGGAGTCAGAGTGACAAGCCAAGGCCCGGGTCAAAATGTCATGGTGAGGAAGCACACCCCATTCCTACATCTAGACCAAGTGTTCTCAAGGAGCTACTGTATGTTATCCGGTGATTTTTGTCCTGGTGGAAACTTCCCAGACAATAACACACACGAAGGACCTTTAGTCATATCTACAAACACTTGCTTTTAAAAACAAGACAGCCATAGTGAAGCAAGAAACTGTACACTGCGATGGTTGTCAGAATTTTAGCGGTTCACAAGGCTGACTTTCACCAGCTCCAGATGAACTTCGACCCAGTGACTGTTGGTTTATACATGACTAAGTTTTCTTAACATGCTCCTTACGATTGGAGTTCAGAGTGTAGCTCAGCTTTTTTTCCATTATGAACTGGAAAAGTCTCCATCTTTCCCATTATCATAATCATCATGTCAACAGTGAAGGACCCGAGAAAATGAATGGGGAGAAGCCCCCCCCCCACCACCACCACCACTTTCCATTTGGAGTGAGCCCCCTGGAAAATATCTACCTCAATCTGAAATGTGATCAGGGAGGATGACCATCAGATGACTTGGAATCTGGACTGGGCACACCATGCAAGGCCTTACTCTGAAATTATTCCCAGAGAAGGGTCATCAGCAGCTTTCACCCAAGCACACCCTGAAAGAGAAACGATCGCCAGGCTCCAGTGCTGTGTGTACTGAGTCAAGGGTTCTCAAACTTTGGGGTCCAGGCCCAAACATAAGCAAGACAGTCGGTACACTCTTTTATAAATGAAACAAAATGAGCATTTTTTTTGTGTGTGTGTGTGTGTGTGTGTGTGTGTGTGTGTGTGTGTGTGTGTGTGTGTGTGTGTGTGTGTGTGTGTAAATTATTTTGCAGACAGCCACTCTACCGTTCATGGCCTCTAGTTAGAGAACCACTGTGCCAGCCAATAATCCTAACATCTTTCTCTTACAGACTTGTGCTCATCGGTACCAGCAGTGGAGCCCAAGCCCGGGGCTTTACACGCCTCGCCTGGTAACGGGCCAGTGCTACATTTTAGGAGACGGCCTGCAGGTCGGGACAGAGGAAAGGACGTGGAGAAGAGTGGTTTGCGATGCCGAACACCTGAACAGACGTCAGAAAGACCAGGAGTGGTTTGCGTACTGCCAACAGGGTCATGGTGCATCTTTTGCTAAAGACAACCGATCGGTGGTTTTCGGAGCACCAGGCGCTTATCAGTGGAAAGGTCTAATATAACGATTTGATTACAGTGGAACCTTGATTTACAACTCCAAAAACTTGTAAATTGGGGCTCTTGTAAGTCAAGGTCCCAGTGTATTGTTGTTCTCATTGTGCAACATTTTGCAACTCTGAACGTTCTCGTGGGATTCTGTCAAAAGGAATAGTGCGGACGGAGCTGCTGGACAACCTGGACATCTTTGGTGAACTTCCTCGAGAGACCGGCAATATTGACCAATTTAACTCCAAACTCATTCCTCTCCAAAGAAACAGCTACCTGGGTTAGTTTGCCACCCGAGGATCACAAGGAAGCCTTCACTTTCCTATAATTTGTACTCATTCCAGGATTCTCCACTGACTCTGGGATGACACTGCTCCAGGGAGGTGAGCTTACCATCGTATCGGGAGCCCCCAGAGGAGGATACAGCGGTCAGGTGGCCTTTCTTAAGGCAGACCCTTTGGCAGAGAGAAGCTTGTCTGTCGAGTTGGTCCTGTCTGGTCCGGGGTTGGCCTCCTCCTTCGGATACGACCTTGCCGTGGTGGATCTCAACAATGATGGGTTTGTTTTGTTGCGAGATGTACTTAATGATCCACAGCGTTTACACGTTGTATTACATCATGAGAGTCTTAATATTTGGACAATGCTACCTTGACTTACGAGTGCATCAACTTCCGAGTTTTTCAAGTTACAACCCATCACTTGGTCAAATCGTCAAATGCATACCGGTAAATACAAAATGAGAACACTCACAAGCAGCATCTGGAGACCACAATTCACACCCAACCGCTCACATGCACACTAGCCAGCCAGAACGACTCCAGCTTCTGACATCAATGAGTACGCCATTCCCCTTAAAAGGCATGCATCCAACACACAGATACTACAGTTCATGCAGTAAATAAGCTTAAAGCCAATTCTTTTTTTTATTTATTTATTTTTTTACAATGCATTGTTTTTAAAGAAACTATTTTTGTTGGATTGGACACAATGGAATTTCAATTCAATTTAAATGGGGGGGGGGAACTTATTTGATACAAGTAAATTCAGTTATGATGCTTTATCACGGAACAAATTGAACTTGTTGGTCAAGGTACCGCTGATAGCAGTTTTAAGAGGTAGTTTGTAATGACGATCCTACCACCAGGTGGGAGGACCTTGCCGTGGGAGCACCCGAATTCTTTCTCAAAGATGGTGTGATTGGCGGAGCGGTCTACATCTACATCAACAACAAAGGGAAAAATTGGCAGGAGGTGAATCCAATTCAAATCCTTGGCCATAAAGATTCCATGTTTGGACTCGCAGTGGAAAACATCGGCGATGTCAATCAAGATGGATATAGAGGTGGCTGTCATTCTGTTTCACGAACTCAGTATTGAGTCAACACATAATGTTTTGCTGTTGTTAATATTGAAGAGGATTAATGTTTACAATTTGAGAGGAAATGTACTCGTAATTTTTAACACAACCCAAACCACAAGATTATCGCTCAGGATCATTTTTACAAAATGCCCGACAGGCAGGCTTTTGCTTAAATTTAATAGCAAGGGAGAGAAAAAGATCTAATCCAGCCCAATTATTGGTGTGTGCGTGTGTGTGTGTGTGTGTGTGTGTGTGTGTGTGTGTGTGTGTGTGTGTGTGTGTGTGTGTGTGTGTTAGTTACTAGATTTGATTGTGACAAAAGTTTATGTTATTATCTAGTTCCTCATATATTTTTACACACAAACTTCATAATGACAGACATTGCTGTGGGAGCGCCATATGACGGTTCCGGTCGAGTTTACCTCTACTGTGGCTCATCAAGTGGCATCAACAGAAAGGCAGCGCAGGTGCAGTTTGAAGTCACATTTGGGAATATAACTGCTGAATTTTGATTTAGGGATCACTGTTTTATGAATGATTGTCAACATTTTCATGTTTACTTTCAGGTGCTCTCGCCAGGTTCGAAAAAAATCACGCTGTTTGGATATTCTCTGGCGGGTAACTTGGATATTGATGACAACCAATACCCTGATTTGGCTGTTGGATCACTATCAGATATGGTCTTTGTCTACAGGTGACACCGTTTGGTTTCAAATCTTTGATGTAATTCGGGCTGAGCGATTTTGATTTTTTTTCCCCTATATTGCAACTATATATACAGTACTGTATACTATTGCGATTATCTTTTCAAGGTCCTCCTCCCATGTATTTTTTAACAAACACAAGCAATAAATAAATCTGTCTTCCAATCAAAGATATCAGATTTACTCCAATGAATATTTTGGTTTTATATGTTGGGATTACATTAAAATAAGGCAAACAAACCATGAATATAATATGAAAGACAATTTTTCCATCGAATTCAATTACAGTTGTTAATTAACTAAAAACTTTGACTCGCAGTCTGTTTGGCAATCACAAAGACAACTTTGCAAAATGCTACCAGACAAGCTTGGCGGAAACTTGAGTCGGTAAATCATTTACGTTTACAACAATCACAAAAGCTTAATTTATCTAGACACTGTATCAATAAATAAAGTAGCACTTTGTTTACCTCAAAATTGCAGTCTCTGCAATTTGAAAATTGCATTCATCAGCATTATGTCACTTTGAAATTGACAAATGTTCTAAAACTAGTTCGAATACAGTGCAAGCTTGACGACCACCACACCAATTTAGGAGTTTTCCAAGTTATGAGCTGTGAAGATTTTGTGACGCTGCCGCTAGATGGCGTCAGATGGCCACAACATCTCTGTCCATCATCTGGCTCACATTTGAGAAACAAATCAATTCAGTTCCGAGTCATGAGGCGAATAAAGCTCGAAAGTCAAGGCACCACATTTTTTATGACCTGATTTCAAACATTCGTGTGTATCTGTTTCAGAGCTCGGCCTGTGGTCAGTGTCAGCAGCACTCTCACAATAACACCAAATGAAATTGACGTCTCAAAGCAGCAGTGCAATCAGCTCACATGGTAAAAAAAAATGCAGGAACCAACTGCTTCTACGGGTTTTTAACTTTGTTGATTTGACGTTATGTTCTCCCATCAGTTATTTTGCAGTGAAGGCATGTTTTACCTACTCGGCACATCCAGCGTCATTCAACTCCAAACTGAGTGAGTTTTCTGTTGGAGGATTTTTGATTGATATGGCACTGTTCTTTTTCCTTACTTGAGTTCAAAAGGAAAACAAATCAAGACAAAAAGAACTCATCTAAACTCTAAATTAACGCTTTAAATTCTGTAAACATGGATTGATTTTATATATGTGCCTCAATATTTGCATGATTTATTGTGTTTTGAGATGGTAACAAGTAACACTGCATAAATAATCCAAGTTGCAATGTTATTACCACAAAAAAAAAAAATAGAGAGAGAGAATACGTTTGCGTAAAGGTTCCATTGTTCCTCGGCAGCAATCAGATTCTCGATCGAGGCTGATGCAGCGAGGAGGAAATCCAGGCTTCCCCCTCGAGTGGACTTTCTGGGTTCATCTCAGGGGACATTGGAGCTGCCTGGCCAAGGGAGCAAAATCTGTGTGAAAACCAAGCTCCGACTTTTGGTAATGTTCCACTAAGTTCTTGAGTGTGTGTGTGTGTGTGTGTGGGGGGGGGGGGGGGGGGGGGGGGAGGTTTTTT